TCCATAAAAGAAACATATTTTTTCTTTATCGTTTTTCAAATAAGTCCAAAATAACTTTGAAAATTTCCAAAAAAAATGATTTTTTGCTCAAATTTTGAGAACCACTGGATCTTTTCTGGATTTTGTTTCTTGTAAATTTAATCTACTATCTATTTTGCCATATTATCAAGAAATTATTTTCTTTTAAGTAAAAACTAAAAAAAATCCTTCAAAAAATTCCGAATTTTCAAAAAAAATGTTTCGCGGAAAAAACCTCATAGGCGTGTTTCTGGGGTTGAACTATACTACCAGTTAAAATACTTGTACCTATTTCTGGGACATCTTGTATACTTTACTTAAATATTGCCACTACCCCCTACCCCTCCCGAGACCCCTCCCAGACTAAATCTCTAAATGCGCCACTGGTTCTTCGTTAAATTAATTAAATCATAACAGTAGCACATTGCATAAACTACTGTGAAAATAAACTAGTAAATAAACATTTCGTTTAACTGAGGAAAATTTAAAATTTAAATGAGATTCTTTCAGAGAAATTCTGTGCACACTTCAAAAAAAACTCTTCTTGTATATAATTTAATTGTTAAAAAAGGTTTAGATGAGATTTTAAAAAGATAATGTCATGAAAAAAAAAATGGAAAAATAGCACGTAGACAGAAATGTATCTAATTTTCTCATTTTACTTATTTTTTGTTACACATTTATATGTATTACCAAGTTAGAGATAAGGTAACATTTGTTTAAAATTGATTTCACTTTTTTCAAATTATTTTTTATAGTTTATATCTTGCTATTTTCATTCTTTTCTGCAGTCAATTACAATACTAATTATTGTGTAACAGTGACTAACCTACATAAATCTCTATAAATACTTTATCCATTAAAAAAAAATAAGCAGAATAGATGTTACAGTTGTTAATAGCGCAAGTAATTTATGTATCACCTTAATAAAATATTACCAGCAACATCTTACAACACCATCTCTAAAACAATTAAACAAATATTGAAGTTTACTCGCGAAGAAATTTAAATTTCAAATCAGGATTTTTTCTCTAACTCACCATCTTTAATGACGACCTGTAGTCACTTCTGCATACATACACTCGATAGTATCGATTACCGTCTCCTTGTTCTCTGACATCGTTGAGTTGCATACACTTAAAACGACATGAAATGATGAAGAAAAAAAATTCCTGACGTCAAAGATTTAGTCCGTATTAAGATAATAAAGATTTAAGTACATTCTTTTTACAAAAAAATATTGTAAAAATGCAATTAAAAACTTAATTTATCTTGAACGAAATAAATGATAATGAGAATAGAAAAAAATCAACATTGTTTAAGAAATAATATTTCATAATCAAAATATCCAAACAAAATTAAAAAATATTAAAGTAGATAACAAAAAGTTAAATTAAGGGTGAAGTTAATTTTTAAGTAAGTCAATTCGATATATTTGTAAGATTCAATTTTATTATTTGTGTAAATTATTGCCTTTTACAGGGTGTCCCAGAAATAAGTACAGATATTTTAAGGGGTGGTAGATCTGGCCAAAAGAAACATAGTTACTCTTTACCATTTTAAAAACAAATTGAAAATAAGTTATTTAACTTTGAAAATTTAAAAAAATAAAGGCAACATTTGGAGAACCGCCGCGCCGGCAGATAACACCATCCATTTTGCATAGATGCATTACATTTTTAAGATGGTGTTATTATTACACAAAATAAATTAAAGGAAAAAACTTCCCCACAATATTAAAAAAATATATTTATGGCAGATCGATGTGACTGCGACAGTTCTCTTTTTCGATACACACTTAACTAAAATACACTTCACTGTGCTGCTTTACTTGTAAATGCTATTATAATAACTACTAAATAACAGTCCCCATTTCTAAGACATTATTTTCAAATAAGCTTCATCATAATTTGATCATAATTTTTTATTGAAATTTTCTGTTCATATTAGTTTTTTGTAGAACTATTAGTAACGGGCACTGATCTCAAAAGATTAAAATTATCATTCCTAATTTTTTGTGTAGAAATTTGAAATTGCTGTGAATTTATAAGTATAGAAATATGTAGGATATACGTTCATGGATAACGTTAGGAGGTGGCAACAGTGCAAGGTTTAGATACATGGGCACCGTAGAGAAATCTCAGGTGAATAAATAAGTGGCACTAAAAAGTTTTTTTAAATTTCCCGGAAAATGTCAAGAAAAATTTAAAATTTTCAACAATTTTTTTCGCATAAAAAATTAAAAGGCATGTTTCTAAGGTCGAAATATACTAGCTAAATTATCTGCACTTATTTCTCAGACACCATGTATAGGATAAGGATTGAGTAATAGAAAAGAGGTGTGTGTTAAGAAGAAATATGAAGTTTTTCAAGAGATATGGAAATCCTCAAATAACACTCGGCTAATATTATTGATCGTTCAAAAACATAGAAGCATGGATCACAGAAAAAAGTGAGCAAACCAATGAGTGGAAGAATAGAACCCGGACATAAAATAACCGGTAAAACTGAAAAGTTTATGTTTTATATCATTGTTCTCGAAATAAAGCAGATCTAGAAATGGGGATATTACAATGATATGTTTCCTTTATAGTCAGTTTCCACTATAGACAGTAACTGAAAACGATAAAGCTTTTGAAATGTGTTGCAAGAAAATGTGAAAAATTCCATGGACAGAGAATAGCCAATAAAGAAGTACTACATAGAATAAGGATAAAATGTGAAAAAATAGGAGATAGAGGAAAAATAGGTAATAAAAAAGAAAAAATTGCAATCTGCGCTTATTAGAAAAAGAGAGGTAAATGGTGAACTATTAAGACTCCATTTCACTAGTCCAAAAAAATAACAAAATAGGCGTTTGGCATTTAATGTTGTGATTACAGTGATATATAATTTATCTGGTTTTGTAATCAAATGCTCCCTATTTTTTGGCAAATGCTAAAGTCCTGCAAACCTTAATCAAGCCTTAATCAAAGCACGTGTGTTTGGAATTTTGGGTGTGGCTTAACACAACAGGATCGGGCTAAGCCTTAGGCAGATTTCTGAAATATAATATATATTTCCTTCGGCCACACACCCGCTTTATCCGACCCCTTAGAGCGACCTGAACAGTACAGCGTAATAGACTATTAAGGCTAATGCAAAAGGAAAATCAGAAAAAGTCTAAGAGACACAAGAATGTATACTTAGCTAAGTAATGTAAGAGAGTGCGACTGCGACTTCAAGAGGATTTATTTAGAGCTACAATCAATAAAGTAAAAATTGCACTGGTGGTCTAATCTCAGATATAAGACGGTACTGGAAGAAGAAAAAGAATGTTATTCAGAAACAAAAACATTAGGCTCTAATTTTGTACCTGTTCTTCCGAATTTTTCCTTATATTCCCTTTATGTTTTTCTTCCATTATAGCAGTGATCACATTTTCTATAATTCTCCACCAAATTTCTTTACTCCTCACTAATATTATGCGGCGTTATCTTCAAACAACAATCCGTACCAGCTCCGATTCTAAAATATTCAAAATTATTGGAATACGAAAGTGAAGAACGGTCGACGACAGAACAAACACAAAACTTACGCCTCTCAAAACAATAACAGCCCATATGGTAATTAGAGTTGTAGCGAGAATATTCCGAGCGCATTACGCGGGAAATGAACAATAATGAGCGTGAAAGGAACAAACCTGAACAAATAAAGCGTCAAGGAGATTTTGAACAGTATAGAGTCAAAAATCGCAACGAGTAGAGGTTACCGATTGTTAAGCGTGAGAGATTGAGACTTTAGTTTATTGCAGGACTGCAGTGTAACAATGCGAAATATGCTAATAGAACAGTTAAAGTTTTAGTTCCGATCAGTATTAAATATTATAATGTATATGCCAGAACACCTTATCACTGAGTGCGCCGAGACGACAACCATTCGTGCTATAAACTTGGGAACGACGGATATCGAAGATTGAGAACCAACCTCTGCAAAACCGTCTCAGATACTGGCTTTTGTCAAAGCCCTGAAACTGCATGGTGATTTATAACTCTAGAAAGGGGGACACAATAGATTTATAAGGTTACCATGAGTAACTTCCTCCCTTTTATACAATCAATCAATCAGTCAATATGTATATGCCATACTTGCAATTATAAAAAAATCAGTCACATTTTAACTGCCTTGAAATAACCAAGTGATTACATGTGAAGATTAGTAATGAAAGCTTGAAATCGTACAAGATTACCGTTTAACAATGTCAGTTAAATGATTCCTTCCAATCAGCAATTTTTGCATCATGGCAAAATTTGTTTTCATTAAGTTAACAAAACGATTTATGTTTTTTTTTCCTTATAGATAAATAAATAAAGGTAATACTGACCGCTTAAATAATTCTCAACTAATTTAAAGTTGACAAGAAAATTTTAGCAAATAATATAAGTGGGTTAGAAAAATTGGCTAATTCCTTCAGAAAATTGATTATTATATGTAGGAGTTTTAGACCGTAATTTCAAGATTGCCCCCCCATATAACAATGTCAAATATGCTAAGTTCTACATGCTATGCATGCTTTAAATTAATTTCATGATGTCAAAAAATTTTATCATAAAATATATTGACTCTAAATTAGTTTATATTTTTTTCTTTTTATTCCTGGCTTTAGGTGGTTGGGGTCGTAAAGATGTTACTGGATTTTATTTATTATTTTATTTTTATCGACGACGGCGACGTCTCGACAATATATGTCTTTTTCAAGTCTCTTGAACGTAGATTGCTACAGAATCAAAATTGTAAAAAACTGGACAAACACACAATAACCCATATTAAAACTATTATTTTATTTGTTTAGGAACATCACACTTTAGTATACAGCACGTATTTTCTCGCAGACCGTTTTGTATAAAACATATTCATCGTTTCAATAGCCGATGTCTACTAAAAAAATCAATTACGGCTATTGCTCGACGAGTAAATATTATTAATTGTATTTATTTTTACAGGTCTGTGAGCCAGATGTGCGAAAGTGGCTTCAATGCCGCAGAAGGATTCTCCAGGATGGCGTCCCTGGGCGGGACGCCCATCGGTATTCCGCAAGGTTTACAAACACCTCAAGCTGTCAAAAAGCAAGAGGACCACATCAAAAGGCCCATGAACGCGTTTATGGTGTGGTCACGTCTTCAGCGCAGAAAGATAGCACAGGAGAATCCGAAAATGCACAATTCAGAAATTTCGAAAAGACTCGGTGAGTTCTGCAATTTCTGATGCTAATTAAGTTAAGAATTTAAAATTAACTTAAGACATGTTGGTAACTAGATATTTTCAAAAACACGCTTTGGCTCTACCGGGTGGTGCATCGTCGTTGGAAACATAGGAAATCGTATAGTGTTTACATAACTTTTGGGTAAATTCTTTACATTTGAACGATGTTTAAACATTGTTTTGCTTGTTTTACACTCTCGTCCTCTATTTTTTTTTTAATGTTGGTAACTCTAACCTACGGTAATGTAGTAGTGTAGACAGCACAACAAATTACATTTGACAATGATTAAATCATAGGTTGATAAAAATAGTATGTAGTATAATAGCAAACTAATAGTATGTTGACAGTTTTAATTTAAAAATTGATGCGGTTTTTCTTAAACTACTTAAAATCCGCTTGTCCAAAATTATTCAAATTTGGCATTCAGCATAGGTAGACCTTTAAAAACTCTCCTTACGACTTTGCTGTAAAATTAATAGGAGAGCCAATATTTGGACAGTTCAAAATTTGCAAGGGATTTCTTATTTTTATAACCACCTGGTATATATAAAACGTAATTTTACTCTACTATAAGCAAAGGCTAGAGCCCCGGTGCTTAGAGGTACAAGTCTCGTGTACCAATCTAAAGGTAAACCTATTTATCAGCCCACTACATTAATAATATTAAAAAAGTTTGAATACTTAGATTAGATTAACTCAATTAACGCAAATGAGCACTTGGGCATTTGGAACTCACTTTTAAGGTTATTGTGCTAGCCACAAGATATACCTTCATAGAATACCGACTATATAGTAGATTGTACCTTGCTACTTTCAAGTAAAAAGGTACACCATTATTATTATTATTTTTAAAACAAAAAAAAGTCTAGCATAGTAGTCTATAGTCAACATCTAGCATACTTTAGCATATTTCATTAGTTTATAGATATACATTGAAGATTTAAAGTATGAATTTTAAAAATGTACCGAATAACTCCATTCTTTTTAATGTTTATTTTCAGTGTACATAATTATAAAATTCACTCTAAATTAACAATAAAATGAAATGAAGTTCAAAAAAATACTGGTAAAAACAAGAACAGATCATAAATAATAAGTCTATATCAGAGGGTTGACGTCCATGTTACTATAATAAATAAACTATTATTTGCCAATAATGATTAATATCCCATGGGATAAAACAAGAGAACTATATAATATGATTAATTATTAAGTAACTTCGTATGACTATAATTAATAATCGCAAACGGTTATTATGAGATACCTAAAAGGCAAATTACAATTTTTTATATGTTTTTGTAGTATTGTTAGACTATGAATTACTTAGATACATATACCTATTGTAGTCATCCTGTAGCCAACATAAATATACAGTCTCAAAATGCAAGTAACATTTATGATTTTATGAAATGTTTTGTCGTATTGTTAGACTATGAACTACCTAGATACCTACAGCTATTTTTGGGCGTCTTGTCGCCAACATAAATATACCTTCCCAAAACACAAATTTAGACTTTTTCTGATAAATTCATGACGAAACTACACAAGAAGACAAACATGTTAAAAAAACTTACTGGACTAAACTGAGAACTAGGCGAAAAAATTAATTACAAAGATTGGTAAAAAAACAGTAAAAGGAAAACTTTTTGGAATACTGGGCCTAACATATTTGTTTTAAAATAAAGATTGACCCCTGATTTCTTTTTTATCTTAACCTTAAGATGACACTTCCAGAGAAATATTATTTTAATATTAAATTGGTGTCTAGGTTGTAATATGAAAGGTCTAAAGTTTTAACACGGCCTCCCTCTTTTTGCTCCAAGATAAGAATTAATTACCAGCAGCGTGGGCCCTTTTCGGCCTAGAAAGATAATTTAATGCTTTGTTCTTGAGTTCGGCAACGAGCCTTTATTTGTCGCTGTAGTATCCTTGTTCTTTTTCAGGAAAATCTGTATAATACATCCGACAAGAAAAGTTTTTTGCCTTTTGTAAACCTTTGTTCTTGTTGTTTTTCTTGCTATGATGGTTTCTGTTGCGGATGGTAATTAAACGTTTAATTATAAAAGTTTTGGTTTCTTCTTATATTTATCACACAGTGTTCTGGTATATGAATGAACGATTTCTTATTTTATTGACCGTCCAGATTAGCCCGGATAGCAAAAAGGAGACGTTAACTTAAAATATTTTTCTATTTACTTTCGACTTGCTTGGTATTATTTTTAAAAAACACCGACTCAAATGAATAAAGAGAAAAAAACATAATACACACTTACAAATAAATAAAAAAAAGGAAATGAAAAGACTCAATCCACATCACACTCCATTTAATAATGTAAAAAGTGTTTGCCAGCTACTAAATTTCATCTCTAAATTAAAGCAAATTGTAAAAGTACCCTTAAATTTAACATTTCATATTTTCTTAATAGTCTAAGATCCGGCTCCATGATTCCCCCGGAGATAGATTTAATCTCGAGATAGGTTTCATTGATTGATAGGACAAATTGCTTAATAACTCGGCCAAAATTTAATATTTTTGATGATTCAAAGTTCATTTAAAAGATGTATGGGTAGCTTTGGGGTGTGAATATGGATAATCTGAAATCAGCTGGGTTCTGGGTTTACTGTTTAGATTTTCCACACAAGACATACCATAGAGGTTTGCTAGTCTGTCTAATGTTTCATTTATTTTATCAGCTATTTTAACTAATTTTGTTAAATCTTCGCCACTTACCATTAATATGGCCTTCATTGTAGATAGTAACTGCTCTAACCAGAGAGTTAGAGAGAAATTTATTGTTATTTAGGCTCTGAATTTTGTGTAGGAGCTGTGAAGATTTCTGATCTCCCATCAGTGCAACTCCTACAAGCAGTTTTTGGATTCTGACTATATCGTTGTCTGCAAATCTGCTAATTAAACGATTTTTGAGTGCTGAATACTTGTCTGTTGCTGGTGGACTGCCTATAAGGTCGGCTATTTCCGCAAGTGTTTCGCAGTTTAGGCTGGCAACTGTATAGTCGAACTTGCAATCATCAGTTGAAATCCCAGCAGTTCGGAACTGACATTCGATTCTGTAAAACCACAGCTCTGGCTCAGCCTTCCAGAATTCAGGAGGTTTGAAACTGACCCTGTACGGTTTATTTATTGGTTGATTGTTTGTTGATTGATTGGAATTGTTTGTTTTAGTAGTGCTAGCTTCTGGATTATTTGTTTGCATGTTTGGTTAATTGGTATTGATTGTCAGTAATTTCAAGCTTCTTGGATCACGTCGACGTCAACAATATGGGTATTTTTGGGTGTGAAAATGATAATCTGAAATCATCTGGGTTTACTGTTTAGATTTTCCACACTAGACATACTCACTTGTTTTTTGGTTTACTGGTCTGTCTTCATTTAATTTGTCAGCCGATGCCGCTATTCTTCTTTTTTTTTCTTGGCACCGATGAACCTGGACGCTGCTAACTTCATGCTTCATATGACGGTGGTCAATCGCCACAGATGGAACCAACAGCTATCACATTTTCGAATTTGTTTGAATTTTGTCATATTTTATAATAATAAAAAAACCGGGCAAACATCCCTTAACCCAAAAATTTTCAGATTTTTACAAACTTATTCACATTTTCACTAATAATAGCTTATTTGTCAAGAGTTTTTTAAGAGTTGTTCTTAGAGTCTCTTTTAGCAACTCAGAAAGTTTGAAGTATTTGTTTAATCACATCATATTAATAAAAAGAACAACTATTCATGAGTGGCTTTTTTGGAATTTTCGAAAAGTGTCATAAACAAAGGAAAATTGCATAATAACTTTATAAGTAATAAACATCAATCAGGAGTTGGCAATCAATTGTAAAAGTTCAAAATTACCTACAATATCTTGCAACTCTTTCAGGGTATATTGTTCTTCTCCATTTTCCGGGATATAATGTTCTACCTTGACCATTTGGTCTGAAATATCAGCATGCAAGGGATGTCCTACGCTGTGGAACATTCAAATTCAAATTCAAATTTCTTTATTTAGACCCCATTAAGTTTTACAGAATAATATTAGTACTAATAAATGTGTGTCTAAAGGGATCGCACCGCGATTAAAAAACCGATACAATGGCACAAAGTGCCAGAGTGGTGCGACCCCAAACTACTTGTGGAACATGACTTATAAAAGTTATGTTACACATGACAGTGCTTATATCTGGCACCAGCACAAAAAAAAATCTTGATAATTAAGCTATTATTAGTGAAAATGTAAATAAATTTGTAAAAATGTGAAAATTTTTGGGTCAAGGAATGTTTCCGTGGTTTTTTTATTATCATAAAATATGACAAAATTCGAACAAATTCTAAAATGTGATAGCTGTTGATCCTACCTTTTAAATAAACTTTAAATCATCAAAAATTATTAAATTTTAGCCAAGTTATTAAACGATTTGTCCTATCAGTCAAGATACGCTTATAAAATCCATCTCCGGAGCCGTTAAAACTTGGAGAGAAAATTCAGAAATCTTCGAGGCGTAATATCTCGAAAACTACTAATTCTACGTAAAAAATGTTAAGGGCCATTTTTGTAGACAATTACCTAAGTTTCCTTTTTGTTCAAAGGAAATTTTTGTACGTTGCATATTTTGGCAGATATTTGCGAAAAACTTATTTTTCGGCCATGTGGGGCCATTTTTTCGGCTAAAGCTGGCTGAGCAGGGTGTTACAATTTTTTCCCCTAAAACTACTCCCCAAAAGGTATACAAATTTTATTAAAAAGTATAAATTATGAAGGCAACCATATGGATAACTTTACTTTGAATCGATTTTGAATCAAGAAATCAGCTACACGAAAAGATAACAAACGATTTTAAAAAAATTGGACTCGAATAGAATATAGGCATTTATGTATCAAGCCTCAAACTAATATTTTTTTTTATTGATTGTTATAAATATTATTTCTATATAAACTGAAATATTCTTAAATATTTCAAAAAATCTCGAAATC